CTGGGAGCCGCAACATAGCTTCAAAAGAGCCGCATGGGGCTCTGGAGCCGCAGGTTGTCGACCCCTGATATAGGAAGTTAGAAGGTGGTAGGTGCAATAGGAAAAAAAAACACAGAAGGGAGACCCAGAGCATCATGGGACTGGAGGGCATGTTACAGTTTTTATTTTTTATTTTTTAAAAATATATTTTATTGATTTCTTACGGAGAGGAAGAGAGAGGAATAGAGAATTAGAAACATCGATGAGAGAGAAATATCGATCAGCTGCCTCTTGCACATCCCCCATTGGGGATGTGCCTGCAACCAAGGTACATGCCCTTGACCGGAATCGAACCCGGGACCTTTCAGTCCACAGGCCGACACTCTATCCACTGAGCCAAACCGGTTTTGGCACGTTACAGTTTTTAAAAGGGTAGTGAGAGTGAGTCTCATTGGGAAGAGACATTTGAGCAAAGTCTTGGAGGAGATGGAGTTGGTTATGGGGACACGGTGGAGGGTGGGGGCTCCAGTAAAGGGAATGGTCAGAACAAAGCTTTAACACCACCACGTGCTTGGGGAGTCCCAGGAACATTAAGGATGACAGTGTAGCTGGAGTAGAATGAACAGGGGGTAAAGTAGGAGAGGAGGTTATAGGGTTGAGGGTGGGGACTGGGTTTCACAGGATCTTGACATCTATTTTAAATATTTTGGCTTGTAGTGCTTTTGAAATGGGTATCCAATGAAGGGTTTGAACAAAGGAGTAACAGGATCTGATTTATCAATCTGCTGGGTTGAGAAGAGACTGCATATGGGCCAGAGTGGAAGACCAGATGGAAATACACTGCAGTAATCTAGGAGAGAGACATGGGGCTTGGACCACAGTGTGGCCATGGGGGTGGTGAGGAGGAGTCAGATTCTATATATAGCCTGAGGGAGGGACCAGCTGGATGTGGGGAGTGAGAACACGAAAAAGTGAAGGACCCCTGGGCCTGACCATCTGGTTCCATCAACTAAGATGAAAAGGGCTATGGCTGAAGCAGGTTTAAAGGGGAAAAAAATCAGGAGTTCAGTTTTAGACATATTAAGTTTACTATATCTAGAGCTCTCTTAACCATCAAGTGGAAATGCTGAGAAGGCAGCTGGATATATATGAGTCCAGGCACCAGGAGGGTCTGAGCTACAGATGTAAATTTGGGAGTTATCAGTATATGAATATTGAAAGTCATGAGACCAGGTGAAATGTCTAAAGGAGTGGGCATGGAGAGAGAAGAGGACCAGAACCTAGGACACTCCAAGTTTAAGAGTTCAAAGAGAGGAAGATCTAGCTTCATTTAATCCCCTTACCCATCCTAAATTAATTACTTATGATCCCCCCCTTTAAAAAAAGTTTTTATTGATTTTTAGAGAGAGGAAGGGAGAAGGATAGAAACTTCTATGAGCCTGACCAGTGTTGCTCAGTGGTTGAGCATTGACCTATGAACCAGGAGGTCACAGTTTGATTCTTGGTCAGGGCATATGCCTGGGCGGCAGACTCCATGCCCAGAAGGCAGCTGATCAGTGATTTTCTCTCATTGTTGGCTCTTCTATCTCTCCCTCCCTCTCCCTTCCTCTCTGAAGTCAATAAAACTATATTTAAAATAAAACAAAATAAAAAGTATGTACTATTAGTGTCCTTATTTGAGAAGCTTGACGTTTAGGGAAGGTAAGTTACTTTCTTAAAATAACAGCTGGTAAGTGTTGAAGCACTTCAAACTCAGGCCGTCTGACACCAGAGCCCCTAAGCTATTTTACAGGATGCCACATCATCCAGCCATTTTGATTTTGCGTTTTCTCATTTACTTAGTTCAAAATTAGCCAACTATCTGCCCTTAGCAAGTATGGCAGAAAACAATCCACGCCATCTTCTATAAACATCTATCATGGTCCTGTGTAAAGGAGTAGCTGCTGCTCATGCTCCCTTTTACCAACGTGAAAAGTGAAGCAGTCAGGGTGACAACCTGTGGTCTAGGTAAACATTATTACTACCATCACCACACTTTTTATTTGAACACATACAATGTGCCAGGAATCACGGCAAACACTTTCCTTATCTCACCTTATTTAATAAGTACTTTTTAAAAAAAATGTATTTTATTGATTTTTTTACAGAGAGGAAGGGAAAGGGCTAGAGAATTAGAAATCCCATGAGAAAGAAATATCAATTAGCTGCCTCCTGCTCACCTCCTACTGGGGATGTGCCCACAACCATGATACATGCCCTTGACAAGAATCAAACCTGGGTCCCTTGAGTCCACAGATCAACGCTCTATCCACTGAACCAAACCAGTTAGGGCTAATAACTACTTTTTAAAACTGAAGTTGAATCTTGTTTTCTAACCTCTACTCTGTGCTTTTTTGGAGCACAATGATATTTTACAGAGAGGAAGAGAGAAGGACAGAGAATTAGAAACATCGATGAGAGAGAATCATCGATCAGCTGCCTCTTGCACACCCCCTACTGGGGATGTGCCCGCACCAATGTACATGCCCTTGACCGGAATTGAACCTGGGACCTTTCAGTCCGCAGGCCAACGTTCCATCCACTGAGCCAAACCGGTTTCTGCATAACTGAGATTCTTAAAGGTTAAATATCTTGCCAAGGTCAAGCAGGTGGTGGTCTAGTTGGGGCTGAAAGAAGCCTCCAGAATCCAGGTCTAGAGCTCTGGATGAGAGGCTATCCTGCCCATCGCCTTTACTATACCCAGTGCACATAACTGAAAGGGCATCACGTCTCTTTTTAAATGCACTTATCTAATGGAGAGTAGTTATTACTGCTCAGGATTTATTATCCCACGATACGCTATTAGATAAATCAGGCTCCGGAAATCACACTTTTTAGCATCCCCTGGAGGCGTATTCCGCGGTTCTGCAGCTGCCAGCAACAGCCTGACAGGCCCTTTGTGACTGGCGGCCAGCCGACTGTCCACGACGGCCAATCAGGGCTCGGAGTCACGGAGCTGCACCAATCGGAGATGAACGAACCCCCGAGGAGGGCCAATGGGGAGCTCGAGCCGAAGAACTGGGTGAGCCCCGAACCCGCAATCAATCTGAGGGGCGGAGCGGAACGCTGGTGCCCAATCCGCGGCTTTCAGACCTCGGCCGCGGGCCAATCAGCGGGCGTGCGGCGGCCGGGATATGCGGGGGGCGGGGGAGGGGGCCGCGGGGAGGCGGGGCCTGTCCGCGCAGAGGCGAGGTGGGCGCTGCGGAGAGCGAGGCCGGGTGAGGAGGGCTGGCGGCTTGGGTCTGGGGAGGGGGTGACGTGCACCCACAGCCCACAGGGGAGGCGGCTGGGGCGCGCGAGGGTGGGGCTGGGCGAGCGGGGCAGGGGCAGGGTCACGGGATGCCACCGGACTGAGCCTCCGCGCTGCGGGATGCTGCGGGCAGAGGTAAGGGGCTGGGTACCGGGCGGTGAAGGTGGCCGGCTCCGGGATGATGATGGCTGGGGGAGGAGGGGATGCTGTTGCCATGGCAACGCAGTGTGCCACCTGTCGACTCTTTTCCGCCTCCCGAACGTGCACACACCTTAAATCTACCCCCTTTTCCACCGGCCTCAAGCGGTGCCTACCGTCTGTGGCTGGGACCAGCGCAAAACTAAGCCACTTTGGCAGCTGTCTCTGCTCCGCGTCCTAGCGACTCGAGGCTTCCCCTTCCTCCCCTTGGCCTCGGGCAGAGGGATTAAGCCGGGGCACTTGGTACAACAGGCCTTTGAGGGGTAACCTCCTGGGCCAGTTGGCGGAATGGACACCGCTGGGATGCAGTGCGGCCGCCTCATCCTGGGAACTGGTACGGGAGAGATGCTGTAGCCTGAGGGACCGGGGGTACCCCCCAGAGGGATTTCTTTTTTTCTTTTTCTTTTTCCCTTTTTAAAAATATATCTTATTAATTTTTTACAGAGAGGAAGGGGGAGGGACAGAGCTAGAAACATCAATGAGAAACATGGACCAGCTACCTCCTGCACACTCCCCACTGGGGATGTGCCCGCAATCAATGTACATGCCCCTGACCGGAATCAAACCTGGGACCCCTCAGTCCACAGGCCAATGCTCTATCCACTGAGCCAAACCAGTTTCGGCAAGAGGGATTTCTTAAAAAGGCATCTAACACAGAGCCTTGTGCACAACAAATACTTAGAAAGGGGGGGTTGACTGAATGAAGACCACCATGGCAGCTCTCCCTTCCATGGACCAGCGCTGTGTACTGAATTTACATTTTCTAATCAGCACATTTAAAGAAAGCAAAAAGGTTAAATTAACTTTAATGTATTTTACTTCACCCAATCTATACAAAATATCAATATTAACTATAATCAAAATTAAATCAATATTACTTTATCGATACCAAATTGTTGGGAAAATGTTATAAATTCTCATTTTCACACAAAGCTTTCCAAACCTGGTGTGTATCTCACACTTACAGAACATCTCAATTTCAAGTGCTCATTAGTCATACTTGGCTAATGGCTACCACATAAGAGACTACACAACCATAAACATTTCTTACATGTGTGTGAATTGTGACCAAAAACATGAAACGCATTAATATTCTTTGGTGCCCTCTTATTTGCAAGGAGGCACTGTGCACTGAGGTAACAAAAAACATGAGACCTGGTCTTTTTTTCTCAAGGAGCTTCCTGTCTAATTGAGAAAATACACATCCGAAAATTAAGCTGCATTTTAAATGGACATGATTGAGGCACTAGTAAGGGCAACTGGCAGTATATGATTGATTGACAAACAAGATGGCTGATAATTATCCTATTATTTGAATTCTAGGGAGGGACACTTCAGGCTCATGTAGTAGAAGAAGACTTAAGTCTAGTTTTGAAAGATGGGTAAGACTTGGGCTGCTGGAAAAGATGGGGAAGGTGTTTCGGTTGAATGGATCTAATCAGAACTTCTTATTTTTCTTAGGGTTGAAAATTTGTAGAGTCCCGAGGCGTGCAGACTGAAAAAGCCTGTCCTCTTCTCACTGACAGTCTTCACCATGATTCATAGCCTTTTTTTGATCAACTCCTCTGGAGATATTTTCCTGGAGAAACATTGGAAAAGCGTGGTCAGCCGTTCTGTTTGTGATTACTTTTTTGAGGCACAAGAGAGAGCCACTGAGGCAGAAAACGTACCGCCTGTTATCCCTACCCCTCACCACTACCTCTTAAGTGTATACCGGCACAAGATCTTCTTTGTGGCTGTGATCCAGACAGAGGTTCCACCTCTGTTTGTCATTGAGTTCCTTCACCGGGTAGTGGACACATTTCAGGTGTGTGATCGTGAGGAGGTTCATGTGCGTAAATGATATAGTATCTTTCTTAATTCTGTTTCCATTGTATTCAGCTCTATTAAGAAACTTAAAGAAACGAAAATCAAAACTGCTCTAGCCAGTTTTTCTCAGTGGATAGAGCATTGGCCCTCAGATGGAAGGGGCCTGGGTTTGATTCTGTTCAATCAAGGGCACATACCTTGATTGCAGGCTCAGTCATTGTGCAGGAGGCAACCAATTGATGTGTGGCTCTCACATTGATGATTCTTTCTCTTTGTCTCTCCCCCTCCCATCCACTCTCTCTAAAAATCAATGGCAATGCCCTAGCTGGTTTGGCTCAGTGGAAAGAGCGCTGGCTTGTGGATTCAAGGGTCCCAGTTTCGATTTTGGTCAAGGGCACATACCTTGGTTGCAGGCTTGATCCCTAGTAGGGGGCATGCAGAAGGCAGCCATCAATGAATCTCATCATTGATGTTTCTATCTCTCCCTCTTCTTTCCTCTCTGAAATCAATAAAAATATATTTTAAAAAAATCAATGGCAAAATATCCGTGGGTGAGTATTAACAACAAAAAAGGGAAGTGATTAAAAATAAACAAATAAAAACTCTGACTGTTCATCTCTTCTCCCATTTGATAAGATTCTTGATGCTACTTATTGAATTGGCTGCATATAGAATGACAAATTGAATAGTTTCGAACCTGTTGCATGAGAAAGTCAGCCTACACAGTATTGTGTGCAGTCATTTTAGTTCTAGAAATTGGAATTGTCTTATATTTTGTTCACAAATCAGAGGATTTTAGTTTTGTTTTTGTTTTTTTTAATCTTAACCTGAGGACATTTTTTCCATTGGTTTTTAGAGTGAATGGAAGAGAGAGGGAAAGACAGAGAGAAACATCAGTTTGAGAGAAACATATCAATTGGTTGCCTCCTACATGAGCCCTGATTAGGGCCTGGGCCTGGGAGGAGCCTGCCCTTGACTGGAATCGAACCTGGGACCCTTGGGTCCTCAAGCTGATGCTCTATCCACTTCACCAAACTGGCTAGGGCTATTTTTGTTTTTAATAGTGGACTTGATGTTAACCATTGTTAATTACATTGCTTTGAGTCACATCAAAAAGTGGTAAGTGTATAAAGATAAGTATATTTTTAAAGTAGAGAACTTAAGTAATGCTTATCCCTGGTAGGCATAATTTGTGACCCTGTATTTCATCTTGGGCTTGGGGTATTTATCCACAGCATTGGAGTACTAGTGATGAGCTCTTATTGAAAACCTAAAGTGGGAAATCTTCTATACACCCCCCCCCCAAATTTAAGTAACATATTTTATAAGATACAGTTTTCATTTTGAGGTTTTTTTATATATGTATATAAATAGATTTGAACATTTTTGGGCAGGGTGTATAGGGGAGGTAAGTTAAACTACAATGTTAGCAGCATCTATAATAATAGAAGCCTAAGCGACCATCATAACCAAACGGATGACTGAACAGGCTTCCTGGGGTGACTAGGCCAGCAGGGGGGTTAGTGAGGGACAACCAAACAAATGAGTAGCAGGCTGCGTGAGGCGACCAGGTCGGCAGGGGGGTTAGTGAGGGATGACCAGGCTGGCAGTGGGGACAGTTGGGAGCGACCAGGCCAGCAGGGGGACAGTGAGGGGTGACCAGGCCAGCGGGGGGGCAGTTAGGGGCAATCAGACAGGCAGGCTGGTGAGCAGTTAGGAGCCAGTGGTCCCAGATTGTGAGAGCGATGTTCAACTGCTGGTCATCCTGGGGATCGGGCCTAAACTGGCAGTTGGACATCTCCCGAGGGGTCCCGGATTGGAGAGGGTGCAGACTGGGCTGATGGGGAACCCCTTCCCCCTCATGCATGAATTTTGTGCACCGGGTCTCTAATTTATAGCATAAGATTTTAGGCTGCCCAGACTTTGGATTCAGTGGAATTCTTTCCCTAAAAGACTTGCTCAACTTCTAACACTTGTGATATTTGCATAACTGAAATGATAAATGAGAAGCAAGGGCCCTTTGATACAACTTCTATGTCATGTGAGGTCTGGCATTAGTCTCATGAATACAGAGATTGTAGAACTGGAGAAGAATAGAATGAAGACCCAAATGTTGTGATAAAAATTGAGAAACACGTCAAAGCATCCTTTCATTTGCACTTATATCTAGATCACATGTCTGAAACAGCTTTCATTCCAAGAGAATTCTATTTTATAATTTTTCCCACAGATTCTTTCTGGTAGTATTATTCTGAGATTCTAGTTCTCATGTGACATACTAGTTCCTTCACATAGTGAAAACCTGAGCCCCTGTATGTGGAAGAACTGTAAGCGAAAATAACTCAATAGTTATGGCCTTAAACCATTCTAACTGGGACCCATTATGATTTGCACATTTGATATTTTACCCCATTCTAAGATTGACAGCCCCGTTGGTGAAACTTGATATCAATTTCATATTGCCATAGTGATATTATCTAATTATAAGACAGGAAGTGAGAAAAGTTGTTTAATCTAGTCGAAACCACAGAGGAATTTGAGAAAACAGTACAGTGGCTTGTTTGGAAGTTTGGGACTTCATAGTTTGGGACTGGTTATCTTTGAAGGTTTTGTTAAAAGTAAATGGATATATCCTGATTTTGGTGTCTTATCTGATGTCATTCTCTCTGGCTGTATTATATTTCTAGGACTGGAATATAATGGAAGAATTTCAGCTATAGAATTGCAAGCACTTTTGCTGTAGCACTTTGTCATATTTATGTTTCCATTCCAACTGCTGAGTTCACATTCTGCCTGATTTATAAAATCTAGAGAGTGTTTTACTTATTTTTCAAAATAAAATCAGTCGTAGGAAGGAAATATATTACTTATTTTCTCTTAAGTACTCAGTTTTTAAAGGAGAAATCTATTTTATTTATTTATTTAAAATTAGGAATGTTAGTCTTTATTCTTTTGTTGTTGTTATTAATCCTCACCCAAGGATATTTTTCCATTGACTTTTTTAGAGAGAGTGGAAGGGAGGGGGACAGATAGAAAGAAATATCAACTGGTTGCCTCCTGCACTTGCCCTGTCCAGGGCTGGAGATCAAGCCTGCAACTGAGGTATAAATCAAACCCAGAACCTTTCGGGCCACAGGCCAACACTCTGTCCACTAAGCAAAACAGGCTTGGACAATCTTTTTGTTTTAGAAACATATTCCTAAGTGTTCTTGGATATTGGAATGGCTTCGATAATTGACATTAGCTGATGTGATTTTGATCACATCTGGAGTCCATGATCAATTTTGGATGTCATAATTTGAGGAGAATATTGGAAAACCAGAGCATATTCAAAGACATGGCAAATGGTGAAATGATCTACAAACCATACTATAGCATGAATAGTAGAACGATCAAACAGGGAGTTTGGCCCTGAGAAAAAATATTGAAATGAAATCCTGTAGTTGTCTTCAAGTAACTATGGGGCTATTCTATAAACTTGTTCTTTAAGGAAGATCTAGGAAGCAAATTTTAGTTTAGCAATAGAACTTTTTTTTTTATTTTTTTTATGGTCATTTATTGATATTTGTAGTTAATATTTACCTATAAGTAGCTAAATTCAAATTTTTTTTATTTTATTTATTTTTTTGAAGGAATATTTAATATTAACATTGTGAGTTATTATCTTTTGCATATCCAAGTTACACATTTCAAACAAATCGTCATTTATATTTACAGTATACAGATGCAAAGCATTAATTTCCCACTAAATCATCACTTTCTTAAAATGGTACATGTGATGTTATGAAATTAGCTATTAAGCATTCAAAATAGTGGAAAAGAGGTCCTTTCTTCAGTCTTTTTTTTTTTTTTTTAAATATATATTTTTTTTGATTTTTTTTGCCCCCCCCCTCCCTCCCTCACATCCCCTCCCTCCCCAGAGTTTTATGTCCAATGGTTGTACTTATGTGCATGTATAAAAGTCCTTCGATTGATCTATTATCTCCCCCAGATCTTCCTCCCCTCCCCGCTGTAATTTGACAGTCTGCTTGTTGATATACTATCTTTATATCTATCTTTTGGTTCATCAGTTTATAATGTTCTTTATTATCCACAAATGAGTGAAGTCATGTGGTGTTTTTCTTTCAATGACTGGCTTATTTCACTCAGCATGATGTTCTCCATTTCCATCCAGGTTGCTACAAATGATGAGAATTCCTTCTTTTTTATGGCAGCATAGTATTCCATTGTGTAGATGTACCAAAGTTTTTTGATCCAATCATCTGCTGATGGGCACCTAGGCTGTTTCCAAATTCTAGCTATTGTAGATTGTGCTGCTATGAACATAGGGGTGCATATATCCTTTCTGATTGGTGTTTCTAGTTTCTTGGGATATATTCCTAGGAGTGGGATTACTGGGTCAAATGGGAGTTCCATTTTCAGTTTTTTGAGGAAACTCCACACTGTTCTCCACAGTGGTTGCACCAGTCTGCATTCCCACCAGCAGTGCACGAGGGTTCCCTTTTCTCCACAACCTCGCCTACACCTGTCGTTTGTTGATCTGTTGATGTTGGCCATCCTGACAGGTGTGAGATGGTACCGCATTGTTGTTTTGATTTGCATCTCTCGGATAATTAGTGACTTTGAGCATGTTTTCATGTGCCTTTTGGCCTTCCTTCTGTCTTCTTTTGGAAATATTCTATTTAGGTCCATTGCCCATTTTTTAATTGGATCGTTCATCTTCCTTTTATTTAGTTGTATAAGCTGTTTGTAGATGTTGGAGATTAAACCTTTATCAGTGGTAACATTTGCAAATATGTTCTCCCACATTGTGGGCTTTCTTGTTGTTTTGTTGATGGTTTCTTTTGCTGTAAGAAAGCTTTTTATTTTGATGTAGCAATAGAACTTTTTAATAATCCGAGCTGACCATGAATAGAATGGGCTTTCTCAGAAAGAGGTCAGTTTCCCTTCCTTGGATGAATTAAAGGAGGATTATATGACTATCTCTTAGTTCCAGTCAAGACATCATTGACATTGCTAGAAAGGCACACCAAATGACTGCAGCATTTCTTTCTAAATTATTTCATCATCATGCGTTGAATTTTTTATAGTTTACAAAGCATTTTTACATATATTGTCATTTAATCAATCATGCATAGTTCTTACAACATCCTTGTGTGTCCAGTGGTATTATCCTGATTATAAAAGAAATCATGACCCAAATGGGTTAGTATGACTTAATCTAGTAATCTAGTAAGTGACAATTAAGATTGTAACCTAGGTCTTCTGATTTGGAATCCAGAGCTTTTTCCACACCCCAGATAATTTAGTATCTAAGTTTAGCCTTTGTTAATAAAAGGACAAAGCATTCTTAGGATCCTAGCATCTTAGAGTAGGGATGATCTCAAGTGATTTTCTGGTGTGCTAGTGCATCCCCCTCATTTTATTTTATTTTCCTCCAAATTCTTATTAAGGAATAGAAGCACACAGTAAAGGTTGAAAAGATTTTCAGGTCTAATCCATAAGCACACATAATAAGTCTTGATTCAGTTTTTGTATTCTACATATCTAGTTGAAGAAACTAACCCATAGAGGTTAAATGACTTACTTTAGTTTATAAAAGAAGTTAGTAATAACACTAGTACTATAAGACAATCTGGTATTCTTTCTATCTCCAGGAACTATGGTTGTACTTCACTTTCTTATTGTAGAAGAATATCCCAAACAATGAGTAAACACATAAGGGCAGGACGAGATCCTTATTCTCTAGGAACATTCTTTCACTTATTACAGTATCTGAGTGATAAATAATACATTTTCTATTTTCATCAGGATTATTTTGGAGTCTGTTCAGAGCCAGTGATCAAAGACAATGTGGTTGTGGTTTATGAAGTACTGGAAGAGATGCTTGATAATGGGTTTCCATTAGCTACCGAATCAAACATCCTTAAAGAACTGATAAAGCCTCCCACTATCCTCCGAACAGTTGTCAACACCATAACAGGTATGGAGAAAGGGGAAACCCACAGAAAGCTGCTGCCATCATGGGGGTGGCTTAGTCTGGTGTGTGCATAGTTTTGAGTGCTTATCTTTGGTCATCTCAGATATACAGATGCTTCAATTTGCTCTTTATAGTCTTTGAGTATGAACTGAAGTAGATTTTAATTATGTGGAAAAATACCCTGATTTCAGTAACAGAATGAAATGTTCTCCCTTAAAAATAATATTTTTTTTCCTGATTACAGAAGAAATACACAATTATTGTAGGCATGTTGGAAATATAGAAAAGCACAAAGAACATGAAATTAATTCTTAATCTTGTTATACTTTTATTATACTAGTGTATATATTTTTTGTCTTTTCTAGACAGATTATAGATGAATGGATAGAATTTTTTTAAATAACTCATATATATTTTAAAACTTACATTTTATCAATATTATGAACACTATCCTATTAGGACAACTATTCTTCTACACCATTTTTAGTGTCTTTACAATTTTCTGCCATATGGAATAGAACCTAAATTATTTACTGATTCCCTGTTTATTTTATTTTATTATTTATTTATTTATTTAAATATATTTTATTGATTTTGTACAGAGAGGAAGGGAGAGAGACAGAGAGTTAGAAACATCGATGAGAGAGAGTCATCGATCAGCTGCCTCTTGCACACCCCCTACTGGGGATATGCCCGCAACCAAAGTACATGCCCCGGAATCGTACCGGGTTCCTTCAGTCCTCAAGCCGACGCTCTATCCATTGAGCCAAACCGATCTCGGCACTGATTCCCTGTTTATGATGTTTCTGATTTTTTGTTCTTTTAAATATCAAGGAATTAGCATTCTTATACTTAAATCTTTGTGTACATTAGAATGATTTATTTTCAGGACTAGAAAAAGAACTGCTGGACCAAAGGATGTGCATATTTTATGGACTTAATGCCTTGTGCCAAATTGCGCTCCAGAGAAGTTACACTAATTTATACTTTCAGCAGCAATTTCTATGTGCCTAGCCAACTCTATCATTATTTCTATTTTTAAAAAGTTTGACATTTGATAATTTAGTAGTATCTTGTTATTTACACACTCATTTTTTATGACTAAGGGAGTTAAAACCTGTTCAAGTGTTTATTGACTGTTTTTTTCTCTTTTGTGAATTACTTTTTGTGTCTTTTGCCCATTTTTTGTTGTTGTTGAAATCATTTTCTTTTTTTATTCTAGTTTAAAGCATTCATTTCATTTAAGGATATTAAACTACCATATATAGTGGAAATACACACAATAGTTTGCGGGAGTTCTTTACATATTTTGAATATTCTCATACATATTTTCTTACAATCTGTCTTGTCATTTGACATTGTAAATGGTATGGTTTGTTTAACCATATTTAAAAATTTTTGATTTAGTCAAATTAATCATTTTTTTAAAGCTTTACGTTTTGGGTCTTGCTAATATATAAACAGGGTTTACTTAGAATTTGACAAAATGATTGGAAAATACATTTTAAAAGGGCTAAATATGCACAAATAGCCAGGACAATTTTGAAAAAGAATTACAAAGGGGTGGAAAAAATTTTCCCTGTCAAATATCAATATATATCAATTTCATATGGTGCTTGAGACAAAAACTCATAGACTAGAGTCTTTAAAAACAAAGAAAGAGAAAAAGAAAAAACAAAAACACAAAAACCAAGAGAGAGAAAAACTAAGATGGTTTGAAAATAAATATTAAAAAAAAAGAACAAGAGAGAAAATATCATGAAGTTTTGGTAATTTAAAAAATATATTGGCCCAGTAATAGGCAAATAGATGATTGGGATAAAATAGAAAGACTAGAAACAGACTCTTGCATTTATAGAAATTTGATATAGATAGGTGTTGTCTCATATTAATCAGTTAGCCAAAGGCCAGTTGTTAAATATTTTATTGTTTTGGGGCAGTCAGCCTTGATATAGAAAGAAAATGAAGTCTCCCTACTCATTCTATACATAAAATGAAATAAGATCCAGTTAGATTAGAGTTAAACACACATACCTGTTAGAAGAAAGTACAGGAGAATGCCTTTATGATCTTAGAGAAGAAAAGTCATTTTTTAAAAGTGGATTTTCTTCTAATTCTTTTGTGATTTTATTTTTGGATGTAATTTTTTGATCTATTTGGAAATTATCTTGTTAATAAGAGGTAAGGCTCTAGGTTTATTTCTCCAAATTTTTAGTCACTTTTCTTAGCACCACATATTGAATAATTTATCTTTTTTCCCTGTTTTCAAATGATATTTTTATCTTGTACTAAGTCATTATGGATTCTTGGTCTTCTGTTTTATAGGTTTTCCTGCCTTATTATCATACTGATTTAACTATTATAGCTTGATGAGAGGTTTTAATATATAGAGCATCTTTTTAAGAAAACACATTCATTGGGATTTTCAATATTTGGGGCTTATTTTAAACCTTAAAGAACTTTATTAGTACCTGAATTATTTATGAATATTATTGAGTTATTTTTCAGAATCTCACTTAAATCTAGAAAAAAGTATCTGAGAACCAGCTTTTGAAAAGCTGAAATATTTTGTATATATGCTGAATATATGTGTATTTAATGTTTATTTCTTTAGGTTAAAAAGATCCAGGTTATAGAAGAAGGAAATAGATTTGTAATTAGTTATAATATTTCATATTTTATTATATAGAACCTTTGAATAAAAAAATATTTTGATGCCTGTGAGGGAAAAACAAGACAAGGAATTGATTTATGATTCTTATAATCTTATAGATAGGGAAAGATCTGATTTGCATTTTTTTCCTAAATTTAAGTATTGGTGTGAGAGAGATTATGTTGATGTGTACATTTTAATACGTAGTATAGATGTACCTAAGAACCTACTTCAAATTAGAATACTGTTTTTACCCATGAAAATTTTATATCAATATGTAGATTACCATCTCCACTGAAATCCAATACATTATTTAAGTTGCAAGCAATTGTGGAATTTGAGAGACCAAGTTCAAGTTACTTTCAAAACCAAAATATGATATCTGTTTCTCAGGTAACTTTCTTAACCCTTATTTTGCTTGAGAAGGCAGACGAGATGGCGACAAGTTTTTAAAGTAGACTAGGTTACTCAGATAGAAGTTGGGAAAACTCCTGTTTCTTGGGGGTTTTTTTTGAAAAATTATTTGAATAGTGGAAGCATAGAAACTTCTAGGGAAGTATTCTATGATTATTAGATAATTGGTACATCTAATCATCAAGTTGGAATTAAATTACAGTAATATTCATTGTCTCAGGAAGCACCAATGTGGGTGACCAGCTTCCCACTGGGCAGCTGTCAGTGGTGCCGTGGCGACGGACTGGGGTGAAATACACCAACAATGAGGCCTATTTTGATGTGATTGAAGAGATTGATGCCATCATTGATAAATCAGGTACATAATTTTAATGTATCTTTTAAACTATGAAAATAGAAAGAGGCCCCCTTTTTAGAATGCTTGCTATTAGCAGGATTATTCCCCATTTAAAACCATTCATTTCAACTTAGTGTTACTTTATGTCAAGCACTATGCTGGATACTAGGCATGAACTTAAATATTATGATGCAGATAACATGATTATATATGTATAAACCCCTAAAGATTCAACAAAAAGCTCTTAAAACTAAAAAAATAAATTCAATAAAGTTGTAGGAAAAACAATTAACATACAAAAATTAGTAGCATTTCTATATGCAAACAACAAACTATCCTAAAAGGAAATTAAGAACACAGTTTCATTTATAATAGCAACAAAGAGAATAAAATACTTAGGACTAAGGAATAAACTTAAGCAAAGAAGTAAAAGATTTGTATATGGAAAATGGTAAAACATTGATGAAGAAAATTAAGGAAATAAGGAGATGCTGCTGCTGCTGCTGCTGCTGCTGATATAATGATGCTATTTGGTTGTTAAATATGAAGTTATGTAAATAAAGAAAAAAATGGGATATATATATATATATATACACACACACACACACACACACAGACACACACACACACACACACACCTCTCTTTCTCTCTCTCTCTCTCTCTCTCTCTCTCTCTCTCTCTCTCTCTCTCTCTCTCTCTCTCTCTCGGCATAGTAGGTTGCAGAAAGCTTGCTTAAGTCCAGTGAGGGAGAAAGGTAAAAAGGAATAGGATAAGAGAGGTATCCCACCCATCCAGAACAAAGTGTAAAGAGGTGATAGTGTTTATGATTTATCAATGGAATGAGTAGAAGTTATTAAAACTTTCATGGATTTTGGAGTGAAGTATGTGCTAACACTTTAAGATAAATAAAATATTGTAGGGAAATAAAGTAACTTAGTATGACTGGATTGAGAAGGATAAAAAAAAAAGAAAAGACATAGCAACTTTTCATATCAGTACCAAACTGGAAATATTTCTGATGTCCATTAGTAATAGAAATGATAAGTAAATTTTGATGTGGTCATACAATGAATACTGTAGTGATAAAAAAAGAACGAAATACTGGCAAACCCAGCAACATGAATATATCTCACAGTATTGAGCAAGAACCTTAGATGCATATGGTTATATGAAGTTTGAAAACAGGTGCAATCTGAGGGAATAGAAGTCAGAATTTTAAGGAGTTGGATTAACTAAGCTGGGCAAGAGGAGCACACTGGGATGCTAAAAAGGTATCACATCTTGATGTGGGTGGTATTGCATAAGTGTGTATTTATTTAAAAATTCATTGAGCTGAACATTTACAATTTTTGCATTTTACTATAAGTTTTGCCTCAATAAAGAATTAAAAACAATTACTAGATGGCTAGATCATGAAGAGTCTTGTGTGCCATTTTAAGGAAGATTATTTGGAACAGTGGAAAAGTTCTAAGTTAGGGAGTAACTTGAACAGATTTGTAGTTTAGAACTACCATTCCAGCTGCAGTGTTAAGAATGGCTTGAAATGGGGTAGGATTGAAGGCAGGGAAAGGAGAAAACTGTTTCTGAAATCACAAAATATAGACATCCACAGTGGTAGTGAGGGTGGAGAGGAGTGAGTAGATTTAAGAGATAGAAGTCATATAAAAGAAGAGGAAATGAAGGGTTAGGCAACAGGATAGATGGTATCATCGGGGAGATAGGGAAAATATGAAGAACAGGTCTGGAAATGAAGATAATGAGCTCACTTTGACATGGGGAGTTTGAAGTGTCTCTGTGACAATCCAAGTGGAGCTGTCCTGCTGGTTGAACAGGAAAAAATGTTAGGAAATAACTAGTCATCAATGAAACCTGAAGCCTGGGGTGGTAGGCAAAGTAACCCAAGGGAAGAGTGTTGCGTGAAAGAAGAGAGATGCTCAGAACTGTGAAAAAGCGTAGACATTTCAGGATGTGAAAAGAGAGAAAGCTGCAGAAGGCACTGCAGAGGAGCAGCTAGAAAAGTAGGAAGTGAGGAGAGGGGGAGATTTTGAAGAGGAAGAAGGGGTCAACAGAGAGACCCTGTGGGATAAAGACCAAGTGTCCATTCCGTATAGCAGCACAGCTCACCGGTGGCCTTAGGGAGAGCAGTTTCTGATGTGAAATTTTCTGAACCATTGGTTTGGATAATGATAATCTGTTTGATTATGGTACGAGATTGAAAACTCCTGTAGACTAATTATCTCATTTATTTTTGTCCCTATTACTTCATCTAAGTATCTCCTACTTGATATAAGGTTGATAAATGTTTGGAAGGATGGACAATGGTAGGTAGATAAGTTAGATGTATAGATGGAAGGAAGGAAAGGAAGGAAGGAAGGAAGGAAGGAAGGAAGGAAGGATGGAAGGAAGGAAGGAAGGAAGGAAGGAAGGGAGGAAGGAAGGAAAAAACGAAGAGAATGAGGGAGGGATAGAGGAAGGAAGAGATGGAAGGAGGAGGGAAGAAGGAAATAAGTTGGGAAGAGCAGAGAAGAGTTCAACAATCCTTACCTTCTTTTTGTCTTGTTTTTGTCTCAGGTTCCACAATTACCGCCGAAATCCAGGGAGTGATTGACGCTTGTGTCAAACTGACTGGAATGCCAGACCTTACTCTTTCCTTCATGGTAAAAGCTTGGCCCACAAATTTAGTTCTTGGGATGGGAAATTAGATGCTTTTGGAAAGACAGAGTGGTGAGCATGAAATGGGACAAGAAGATATAATTAAGGACAGCCACACAGCATGTATCAGGCTTGAATTCTCTATAAGTAACTACAGAATTTGTATGTGTGTATGCACTTTAATAAAAACAGCACCTGAATTACTCCTGAAAGAAATGTGGGTGTTTAATTTCTCTCTCTCGCTTTTCCTTGCCTGGTAACTATAGAACCCCAGGTTGCTGGATGATGTCAGCTTCCATCCTTGTGTTCGTTTCAAGCGCTGGGAATCTGAGCGCATCCTCTCCTTCATCCCTCCTGATGGAAACTTCCGCCTGCTCTCTTACCATGTCAGTGCCCAGAAGTAAGCAGCCTTATAATTAAGAATGGTTTTGTGTGTGTGTGTGTGTGTGAGTGAGTGTGTGTGTGTGTGTGTGTGTGTGTGTGTGTGTGTGTGTGTTTAAACCATATCCATAGTAATTAAGAACTCTGGTTCTGGAGTTACCAGGGTTCAAATTCCAGTTTCTATATGAACTAATTGGGTAAACTCTGGTGAGTTGCTTAACCTTTCTATGTCTGTTTTCTTTTTTGTTTGTTTTTTAAAATACATTTTTATTGATTTCAGAGAGGAAGGGAGAGGGAGAGAGAGATAGAAATATCAGTGATGAGAGAGAATCATTGATTGGCTATTTCCTGCATGCTCCACACTGGGGATCTGGGCATGTGCCCTGACCGAGAATTGAACAGTGACTTCTTGGTTCATAGGTCAAAGCTCAATTACTGAGTCACAATAGCTGGACTGTGTCTATTTTCTTAACATCAAGTTGAAAATAATAAAATTTTCTTATGAGGATTAAATAAGAGAATCTAAACAGTGCTTATCACAAAGTAAGTGCTCATTAAGGTTGCTGCTATTATTTTTGTTGTGATTATTATATGTCTAAACAAGAGTATTTTCTATCTCAAATTGGAATCTGATTACACCTGTATTCAAACTCCTCCCTGCACCTGCCAAAGAAGCATTAAATTATGTAATGAAAACCATAGACTTCAGTGGTTTTTTTAATCTTGAACATTCTCTGTAATATGAGTCTAGGGGGTTTGGGGGCCCTTAGTTGAAGGTATACAGCAGAAGGTATGTGAACTGAAGAGAGCCATGAGACCTCAGAATCACCAATACCTTTCTGTGTGATTTGGAATAAATAATTTATAAAAATATCTGAGAGAAAAGGCTCTGGAATCAGACTGCCTAGACTTAGGCCCCACCTTCAGTACTTATGGTATGTGACCTCGGGCAAGTTCCTTAACTGAGGTTAAGCATATCAGTATTTATCTAGAAAATCAGGACAGTAGCAGTACCCCTTTCATACTTAATTGTGAGGATTAAATGAAGTAATAGGGATCAAACATTTAGCATAGTGACTGGTACTCAGGAAGTGCTTAATAGATTTTAAGAATGTTATTATTCTGTGACTTCTCTATTTCCTCTTTGGTCAAATCATGACAACTACTCTACTTCATAGGTTTTTGTATGGATCAGACGGGTCAGGTAAAAGTTCAAGAAATTATAAAATGTCCATCATGTGTGAATATCACTCTCCCAAGTACAAATAATTATCAGTCACATGTCACAAAATAAAACAGATATGGTGATTTCTAATTTTTGTTCATGGTACATTTCTCAGAGTAGGCTTATCATTCTCTTTGATATTATGAATATTATTCAAAGAGTTACTAAACAGAGTTAGTTTACTTACTAGATAGCATCTTACCTTTACAAAAAGAAAAACAGCAAAGATTATTAGGTGTTGTGTTTGTTTTCCTCCTGTGCTTAATTTTTAAGATAAGGAATAAGGAAGCAGGTAAGGGAGGAAAAGCTGCCAGCAGGGCAAAGGAGGAACAAAGGTTGCCATTTTCCCAGAACGTTCATGAAATGGGCTTCTGTGCGTCCCTTTTTCAGCCTGGTGGCGATTCCGGTGTATGTCAAACATAACATCAGTTTCCGGGACAGTAGTTCGCTCGGACGCTTTGAAATAACAGTGGGACCTAAGCAGACCATGGGGAAGATCGTCGAGGGAGTGATTGTCACCAGCCAGATGCCCAAAGGGGTCTTGAATATGAGCCTCACTCCATCTCAGGGGACACACACATTTGACCCAGTGACTAAGGTAGGAGAATAAGCAGGAGGTTTCGATTTGCTGACATCCAGTAGAAGTAGCTCTGCGAGAGCTCTCCCGATAGACTGTATGCCCTGTGGAAAGGGGGGATTAGTCACAGGGGCATTGTTTTCTCCTGGAGATATTTTGTGGTAACAAATCAAGTTCTCTGTTGAGAAACACCCTAGAGGCAGCTTATAATGTTGTGAACAGTTGCCCTGCGGTTAGAATTCAACAACCTCACCTGAACGGTTCTGCTGTAACTTTTCTTCTTCTTTTTTTTTTTTTTTTCTTTAAAGATGCTGTCTTGGGATGTCGGAAAAATAAATCCCCAGAAGCTACCAAGTTTGAAAGGGACCATGAGTCTTCAGGCTGGAGCTTCCAAACCAGACGAGAACCCCACCATTAACCTGCAGTTTAAAATCCAGCAGCTGGCCATTTCTGGTAAGTGTCCCACCACTCAGGTGGCTTTGACGAGAACAGAGATGGCACAGACATCACAAAGCCTTCTCTTGGCTCCCTGCTTATTGAGTTTGATATGTAATTTTTAGTGAGATCTTTTCTAGCATATTTCTGGGGAAAGTTTATAATCCTTGCTTTGAAGATGGCCTAAAGGACCTGAATAAAAGTGTCTGAGACACAGATGAGAAAGGAACAGTAGTGGTAGGCACAGGTGTTCCCGGGCAGTTGCTGAGTCATCCTAGGTTGTCACTTTGATGTTGCCTGGGTCTTCAGTGTGGGAATGCTTCTGCACTCTCAGCTGGTAACTATAAAGAATAATTTCCTTTCTTTCCCCCCAATTTCAGAAGACTTTCACATTTGCTTTTTTAAAAATTCTCACCCAAGGACATCTATTAGTTGCCTTACGTCTGTGCCCTGCCCGGATATTGAACTCCTAACCTAAGTACGTGCTCACTGGACATCCAAACCACAACCTTTCCATATATGGGATGATGCTCCAACTAGCTGAGCCACACCAGCCAGGGTCACATTTGCTTTTGTTATCATTTAGAATCCTCAGGCTTACCCAAGTCAGTTCACTATAGTCTATACCTACCTCAAGATGATGCTATATAATAAAAACCTAATATGCTAAGTGTCCGGTCCTCAGGTTGACTGTTCAACCAATCAAGCATAATATGATAATATGCTAAGACCGCTCAGCTGCTTGCTATGACATGCACTGACCACCAGGGGGCAGACACTCCAACCAGTACATTAGCTTGTTGCTGGGGTCTGGCCGATAGGGACTGAGCAAGATGGACCGACACACCCTGGAGCCCTCCTGCGGTCCTTTCTGGCTGGCCAACCTTCTATGTCCCTCCCCAGCCCTGATCGGGCACCAGTGGGGTCCCTCGGCCTGGCCTGTGCCCTCTCACAATCCAGGCTGAGGGCCCCCCTCCTTGTCTGCACAAATTTCATGCACTGGGCCACTAGTAGTAATGATAATAGTTACCACTTACTGGGCATTTACTGTGTGTTGGGTACTGTTTTAAACTCTTTTCATCTACTATTCAATCTGTTGAACAATCCTGTAAATAGAGAGGAGATGATTTTAACTTTACATGAAGTTCCTATTTTTCTTTACCAAAGGGCTTTGTCTAATTTAAGTGATTAGAATTTACTTAAATTAAAAACTCTTTAATCTTAAAACACTTAGTGAACTTGAAAGTTTTATATGGTATAATTTTTTTTTTGCTTAGTATAGTGAGAATACTTAGGAAGCATTCATTTATCATTATTTTCCAATATTCATTCATTCAGCAGTGATTTATTTCTTATCACTGTTGATTCAGGTATTCAGAAAAACACACGGTGCTCTTATTTTCCTTGCACCTCATTTCAGTCTGCATATAACTTTCTGCCCTTCCACTTCAAGAACAGGTCCTCTGATACTTTGTTTTTGGTTCATGGCTACTACTATCTCAATCCCACTCTTTGAATTGGAATCAATTTAAACAGCTGTGCTACCTGCTTCTTTTGAATCATGCTTATGTCATATTCTTCCTTCCTTCCTTTCTTCCAGGACTCAAAGTGAACCGCTTGGATATGTATGGAGAGAAGTACAAACCCTTTAAGGGCATAAAATACATGACCAAAGCTGGAAAGTTCCAAGTCCGAACCTGAAGGGAGAGATTTGCAAAGGGAACAGTTCAAACACTTCTTCATTTCTTACTTGTCTAAAAGTGCAAAACAGTATCAGCCTGTCTCCTAGGCCAGTCCCCTTCTGGACCTACCTGCTCCCATTTTCCCTCAGCCTTCAGTGCCATGAAACTAATCAGGGGAGAAAAGGGTCACTGGGAAGGATGGGACAGAACTGAAACACAGTCAGCACTCATCCCAGCTCCTAAAGAGCTGGGCGATGGAGGCCAGGGGTACTTAATGCCGTATTTAACTATTTTAATGTGGTCACCATAGGAAAACACAAGCATTTGTTACTTGCTTGGCTTTAATTATCTAAAGCCAATGAAAGACTTCTTTGTTACTGTTTTTTAAGGTGGAAAGAAAGTGAGAGAGAGAGAAAGAGGAAGAGAAAGGGAGGAAGGAAAAGGGATGGTAGGAGGGAGGAAGGAAGGAAAGAAAAAGGAAGAAGGAGAAAAATAGGAAGGAAGAAAGGAAAGTTTGGAAGAGAATGAATGTTAATCAAGCAAACGCCAGCTAAGGATCTGGTCTGTGAGGGGGAAGAAAGTGGAAACGGTTTAATTAAAGAAGTACGAGGACACTAAAGGGGAAGTGGTTAGGACAAGCAAGTCCCACATGAAGGAGGGCTGGAAAAGATAGAGCTGAGTTTCTTTCCGACCTCTCTACTTTCATATATGTAAAAAGTTTGTACTTCCAGAAATGAACTGGCAACTTCTAAAATCAAGTCCACCATTGATATAGAAAACCCCAGTAGAACTGATTGCCCCTCTAAGACCAGGCCTATATCCGACCGGTTTCCAAACACTGGCTGCTGCTGGTCTTCAGTGCTTGGTTGGTCATCTTCAGTGTGAAGGTGACGTGCCTTTTCCTGGAGGAAATGCCTCTTGTAACCCAAAACAATTCTACTCACTTCCCAGAATTCACCAGCTTCTTCCTGCTCCTGGGGAGAGACTCAGAACAGCCAGTCCAGGGCAGACGCATTCTGTATGTCACGGTATTGGAGTGTAGGTGGTCCGATCGGCCCTCAGGAAGGTATACCACAACTATAACCCAGTGACTTCTTCTTTTAAAAAAATTTTTTTTTTTTTTTAAATTGATTTTGGATGAGAAATAGAAACATTAATGATAAGAGAGAATCATTGACCAGCTGCCTCTTTCACACCCCCTACTGGGGATCAAGCCCACAACCTCCTGCAGCCACATCTGCTAGGCAATTCCTTTTCATGTGTCAGCGCTGGACTGGTCCTGGAGTCTAAGCCGTCCTGTCGGAAACTTTTTTATTTTTTATTTTATTTACAAGTAATCCTAAGTAAAAAAGAATGCTTAAATGAGGATGTGATTCATCCTTGAAGCTGTTCAGTAAAGTTACTTTCTTGGTCTTTTATTTTGTACTCATATAATATATGTATTAACAACTAGAGGCCCAGTGCATGAAAATATGTGCACTGGGTGGAGGGGGGCGGTTCCTCAGCCCGGCCTGTGCCCTCTCACAATCCGGGATCCCTTGGGGGATGGCAGACATGGAGCTCTTGGGGGATGTCCACATTTGGACATCCTTAGCAATGCGGAGGAGGAGGAGGAAAAGGAGGAGGAGGGAGAGGCTCCTGCCACCGCTGCTCTGCTTGCAACCATGGGCCCAGCTTGTGCCTGAGTGGAGCTCCCCCTGTGGGAATGTACTGACCACCAGGGGGCAGCTCCTGCATTGAGTGTCTGCCCCCTGGTGGTCAGTGTGCGTCATAGCTACCAGTTGTTCCCGGGTGTTCTGCCATTAGGGTTAATTTGCATATTACCCTCTTGTAATATAGGATAGCTATCTGCCAGTCCATTTCCCTTTTAATCCTGCCCCCCTCAAAAGTACCCCTAGCTTTGAATAAAGCTAATGTTGTAGGAAGATGGGCCATGTTGATTATGTGTAAACCAGTTTCAGAAACATGGCAACTGCACGATTACCTCAGGCGTCCCCAACGGGTAATTTTTATTCTAGTTTAGTGTGACTACTACCCAGTTAAATATTTATATAAAAGGCAGGTTTTTAAAAATCATAGCTTAAGTAGTGATACTGTTGTGCTTTGCTTCATGCATGGAGAAAAACGAAGACTCTATTCTCCAAACCTTATAGTCTCTCTCTAAAGCCCTATTTCCAAAAATACTTAAGTGATTCCTTTTCTAGTTTTACCTTCCTCCCTGCTGGGTTTGTTTTTGCTGCAGAGCAATGTTGCTGTGTGGTTATTCTCTGGGATAAATTGTGTGCTACATGATGTGTTTCAGATCCCACCACTCCAGAATTTTCTGAGTGCTATATCCCCCATACACCCCAACCACGTGGTTGGTAGAAAACGTAGAATTATGATACTTCTCCTGAGGCCTCTGGAGGGTTTTAACGTTTCACAGAAAACAACCCACCTTGGTCCCTGAGTAGTTGTAGTGTTATAAGCCCAGCTGTTTTATTCCCTCCAGGGCAGCTCAGCCTAATCTCAAGGGGGGATGTTAAGGGGGAATAAAGTATCCGGGGGATGGGAGCTGCAGGCCTCAGCATATGAAGCGACTCTCACACCACCTCTGGCAGAGCCCCCGAGCAACGCGGGTGATGCTGCCGCGGCCAGCAGTGTGTTAGCATAAGTAACGCAGGGCGGCTTGACCACGCTGTTCAGCTCCATGTGTTTAACGTGCAGAAGTGTCTTCTCTGTCTTAATAAAGTGGAGTTTTACCATCCTCCGTGTCCTGAGTGTTTTGTTGTTAGGACTAACGACGATGCTATGCCATGTGTGTCTCAGTAGAAGCAGTAAGGATAATTCAGGAGGCCGAAGCCGGTTTGGCTCAGTGGTAGAGCATCGGTCTGCGGACTGAAAGGTCCCAGGTTCGATTCCGGTCAAGGGCATGTACATTGGTTGTGGGCACATCCCCGGTGGAGGGTGTGCAAGAGGCAGCTGGTTGATGTTTCTCTCTCATCGACGTTTCTAGCTCTCCCTTCCTCTCTGTAAAAAAAAAAATTAAAAAAAAAATGATTCAGGAGGATCTTACTATTGTACTTTCAGCCCACAGACCTAAAGCCGTATATATGGTTTGATTCCCTGGTCATCTCTGGAAGACAAGGATTTTGGTATTTATGTCATTAAAAAGAAATATATTTTATTGATTTTTTTTAGAGAGGGAGGAAGAGAGAGAAAGAAACGCTGATGTGAGATGGATCGGCTGCCTTCTGCACTCCCCTCATCAGAGACTGAGCCCACAACCTGGGCATGTTCCCTCACTGGGAATGGAACCAGCAACCTTCTGGTGCTTGGGATGACACTCAACCAAGGGCTTAATGTCATTTTTAAGGTTGTTAGAATGAAGGTCTATATCAATCAAACTACCTCCCCGCTCCCGTGTGTACGAAACAAAACCATTAAGGCTGCTGTTGTCTGCTCTGGTTCTCCCCCCATCCTCTTGATCATGTTTGTTGATTAACTCAAACATGAAACAGGGCTTCAAGGTTCCCAGACAGCATAACTGTAGTAGAGATTTCTTTCTTTCTTTCTTTTAAATATATTTTATTGATTTTGTACAGAGAGGAAGGGATAGAGATAGAGAGCTAGAAACATCGATGAGAGAGAGTCACCGAACAGCTGCCTCTTGCACACCCCCTACTGGGGATATGCCGACAACCAAGGTACATGCCCTTGACCGGAATCGAACCCGGGACCCTTCAGTCCCCAAGCCGACGCTCTATTCATTGAGCCAAACCGATCTTGGCTGTAGTAGAGATTTCTTGGGGGAGAAGACGTTATGAGTTTTAGTAAGGTAGACACTGGTGGTTATCCCATATCTGCATTAATTTTGTTCTGTAAACCCCTCATGGCCATGAAGAAATTTTAAGACTTATTTCTGTCGACTTACCACAAGTGTTTAATATCTATTTGTATTCCAATCTAGCTATCTTAGTCATTGTTAATATCTTTTCTCTTGGCCTGGCTCTTTTCCTAGCGTTGGGGGTGTGACAAGGTACATTTTATACATGTACTTCCCTATCTGGCCAGTAGGTGGTGACTCCGGGCCAACAATAAGATGACATTTTTGTTTGAATTTTAGAAGGTGAATTGAATATGAAACTCTTAAACTTTTCCCAAGATCCCAAGTACTGGGGATTATGTGAATCTTTGGCTTTTGAAGTTAAACATGGAACCAAAAGTTTATGACACTCTGAGATAACCGTATTTAAGATTGGGGCTCTAGGAGAAAAACAGTTTCAATCACCTGATTTCCTCTAGTCTTCACCCACTGAGAACATTTCTTGTTGCTCTGGTCCGGTATCTATTTTATTATCTGTCTGGGGATAGTGCGGGGAATATACCATTTAATTTCCCATTATGCTCATTTCCTTCCCCCGACAAGTTCCGGACGTTTTATCCTGAATTTCCCAACGCACACTGGCTAAGGATGTGTTGCTCTCTGAGTGTATTTTAGTAAAATTCTGCCATGGAGCTCAGTCAGCGGCCTTTGCTGAGCAATTGTCTTCCTCCAGCCTGCGGTTTCCAGGACTTCACTCAGAGGAAGGCCGGGGCTTTTTAACTGCATCTCCACCCCAGGAGGCCTGACTGCTTCAGTTCACTTCAGTAACTCCACCATCCGAGGAAAAGCCTCTCCTGCAAGGGGGCGGGGGAGGAACCCAGCTGAATTCCTGCGGGAGACTCAGCCCTGGGAGTCTTCCAGCCGTGTTTTTCTGAGATGGCTGAAAGGCACATTTATCTAAAATAAAAGCTGCCACTTGCACAGGGAAGCTTGTAAGCCGAGCAGCCTGAAGTCAAGGAATCTGTGACTAAAGGGTCTGTGACCTGCATTTATTTAACTGATCCAGGGACTTCAGCATTTCAAGGAGGTTGGATTCTGTACCCTTCTCTCCCACACCCTCCTTCCCCCTTGCCAAATCCAGCTCTTGGGCCTTACTCGGAGTTGTTGTTGTTTTTTTTTTTTCATGAGTTAAAACTGATTTTCTTCTGAGAACCCCCAAACTGAGCAGTTTTACATCGTGAGAGACAACTACAACCACCTTTTTGTCTCCAAGGAACTGTCAGCATATACGCGGCAGGAAGCATTGCATCAGCAGGTTTATTCTTGGATCTGGGGCGTCAGTGATGCCTGCTGGGCAGCAGCCAGGTGTATGGGTTATATAAGTCGTCAGAAGCAGAAAGCAGCATTCCTTAAGCAGAACTTGTGTGGACTGGCCTGGGAGTTAATTCTTTCTGATGAACAGGAAAGCAAAGTAGGATGGGGGCGGGGGGTGTGAGGGGATGGGGGGGATGACCCAAATACTAGTTTCTCGTCTGAGCCAACAATTGGGACATTGCACATTAGCAGGTCGTGCTTAGGTTCTTCTTACTCCTTCATTTCTCCTTTCTAGTTCTATGGTTGCTGTCCAGGGAGCCTCCTCACCTCCCGCGTCTGCTGTCTCCTCAACCACACTTACTTAATATTCCTGAGGCATGGTGAGTTCATCACTTTCCTTGAGCCAAGGCCTCAGTGGTTTCCTGTTGCCTACAAAACTAAGCCCACTTTGCCACTCAAAGTCCCCATAATTTAAATCCCAACCCACATTCTTTGTGAACTTAACTGCAAACTGTGGGACTCAATTCCTCCCCATGGTCCCACTGCCTTTTTGCTAAATCTTTACTATTTCATGCACTGATATTCCTTGCTTCAGGAAAGTCTTTCCCACATCTCTCTACCAGTCCAAGTCTTGCCCATTTTTTGAAAGCCCTACCTAATTCTATGTTGTTTTTTTTTCTTTAAGATTCCCTAATCCCTCCTGCAACTGAATTCCAGGAAAAGCTTCTCTCTGCCATTTTGCAGTCCATCTCTGTTCTACCTTATTACTTGTCTAACTAGCTTATTTATTCCCCTTTTTTACTATCCAGAATCCCTAACACATTACCTTGTACACAGCAAGTATTCTGTATTTGTTGAATGAATGAAAAAAAAAATATTGCACATGATTTAAAAAAGTGAACATGAACCAATCAGCTGTGTAATAATGTGTATATAACAACTATTCCACTCTGGGAAAATATGTGAAAAATAAATTTTAATTTATTATTTCAGTATAGTATAATACAAAATTGTGGCAACAGAAAGTAAACACTACAATGAACTGACATAAATACGTTCTAGCCTAGGTGATCAGTTATTAAAATGGTACAATCCTTCTATTATAAAGAAAAAAAAACATTTACACTGTACACAAAAGGAATTCCCTCCAAGAGCTGTAGAGTGGAGAAAGGGGGTAGCCAAATACTTGATTTAAGGGATGGTTTGAAGAACGTGATCTAGCCAGCTAGCCCATTCCTCTGCTGGGCTTCCTTGTCACTATAAATAGACATTCGGTTTCTAAAGCAATACTTCTTTCCTGAAGGATCTTGTTGTGTTTTATCACAGAGACATGCTTTCTTCTCCGTGGTCCCACGTGGATAGATTAGGCGGTTAGGCTTTTGTCCTACCTATTTCCCCTGGATGGCGGTATTCTGGGAGGGGTTGGCATTTATCGGTCTTTCCATCTCACAGAATACATTCTGATATCAGACCTTAACCCCGGAAAACTTCCAAAGAGGGAAGTACCTGTGAAAATATATCCTCTCCCCTCTTCTCCTGGCTCTCCCCACACTGGCACTGTGTGATGGCTCCAGGAGAAGTCTGTGTAAAGAAGCACCGTCTTGGTGTGTCTTCTGAAGTGGAGGAAGGTGAGGTCTCCCATGATGTCAGGGAACTGGGCGTTCCTGGTTACGGGCGCATGTTGTCTTGAATCCATTTTAGGTAATTAGTGACCTTGGTGTATACACCTGGGACATCTTTCTGCCCACAGCCAAGGCCCCAACTGATGATGCCAACCAAAGTCATGCGGTCGTCCTTCATACACACCAAGGGCCCTCCTGAGTCACCCTGCAAAAGGAGAACAGGTTAGCTGTTTGCAAAAACTGCTTTAGGTGGAATTTAGGGCTGACATTTGTGGTGTTACTATTGGACTCTTCCTAGGACTTAGTTCACAGGGTACTATCTCAAGGATCTTGATCCTTTAAAAGGATTAGGCTCTATCTGTATTGTAAAGTAAGTTTCTGAGATAATTGCTCAGACCTGTCAGGCCTCGGCCCTGGTTTTAACTCCACACCATTGTGTGGCCTGGGGCTATCGGTGCTTCAGTATCCTTATCAGTGTAAGAGAGATAGTACTACCTACTTGATGAGATTGTTCTGGGGATTGGAAGAAAGCGTGAAAAGCTCTGAGAACAATGTATGAGATTCAACAAAACTCTTGGTAATTATTCGCTGCTGTGGTCTTGCTGAATCAAAAGGATTTTTGGTTTTTAACTTGAAGCTTGCAAATAATCATGGTTTCACTTCGCAGACAACCTTTATGTGAGTGTTGAGCGAGGTGGCACAATGGAGATTTCTGAAGAAACTTTTCAAAAAGAGACCAAAGGCGCCGAAACCAGTTTTGCTTAGTGGATAGAGCGCCGGCCTGTGGACTGAAAGGTCCCAGGTTTGATTCTGGTCAAGGGCATGTACCTTGGTTGTGGGCACATCCCTAGTAGGGGGTGTGCAGGAGGCAGCTGATTGATGATTCTCTCTCATGGATGTTTCTAACTCTCTATCCCTCTCTCTTCCTCTCTGTGAAAAATCAATAAAATTTATTTTTTATTTATTTATTTTTTTTTAAAGAGGGAGAGAAACCAAAGGCTGTCAAGAAACAAGGGATTCACAAAGGGTCCCCCAAGTCTTCCGGGCAGGAGCCTGGCCTTCCTTCTCTTGGCACCCCTCTCACCCCTGTTCTCAGCGGTCAGCCGGACACACTGCAGGCATGAACATGTGTCATCAGTAACAGATCCTTGGCTCTACTTAGGTCCTAATACACAGGCTGGTCTGGTCCCATGGGCCAGTGTCTTGTTATCACAAAACAGAAGTGCCGACTCCAGTAAAAATGCCCACACAGAGAGCCTGGCCCAGGTTATTGGACTGAGTGAGTTTTTAAACCTCGCTTCTCACAGATCATCTCTCTCCTAGCCAGTGATTGCCATGCCTCCTTCCCCAGCTGCAAAGCAGACTATGATCCTCCAGCATCTAAGTCAAGAACTTCTTAATTTGTGTTGTTTTATCCTTCACTCCAATGGCCAATTCGCTGCTTGGGCTTTACAGGAAATCCTGTACTAGGTGGAGTTTCCTGAGCAGACACTGGGGAAATTTCCTGTCGCTCAGATTTCTGATGTTTGGGTAACTTTGATCTTCCTCCAGTTGCTTCATTCTCCGAGGCCTCATGTAGAATCCCCAGCGCCTCGCTAAGATGAAATCCCCCCATGCTGGCTGGAGGGTTTTCCCATGGTTAACAACCTGCTGGCCCAGGGTCACTTTTACCCTTGGGTGGGCTTGGGGTTCTGGAGAGACAGACGCTCACGTTTACCTGGCAGGCATCGTGCAGGTTTGCTTGGTTCCCTCCAGTGCGCGTGTCCCCGGCACACAGCATGTTGCTCGTGACTGTTTTGTTACGTAAATTCTGAGACGTGCAGCGGTTGGAGGGATACAGCCTGACATGCGCTTCCTTTAGCCGCTCAGAGTAGAAAGGAGAAGCTGAAAGAGAGAGGAGGGAAAGCGTCTTAAGGTTGCAGGGAAAGCTGTCAACCTTCTGGAAGGAGGAAGCCTACTTTTCTAATCATGGCTAAGATGGATCCAGCTTTTACACACATTAGGTTGAGTCCTGAGAAATGGCCAGTATGTTACTGTTCTGCCCTATAAAAACAGTGATTTTTATAGAGTTTTACCCAGAGTTTCTCAGCAACAGCACCATTGCCATAGAGCCCTGGAGACAATTTTTGTGAGGGGCTGTCCTGTGCATGGAGATGCTTGTCAGCACCCCTGGCGACTCCCCATTAAATGCCAGGATAGACCTCCATCCTGAATTGCAATAATAAAAAAATGCCACCAGGCATGGCCAAATGTCTCCTGGGGGACAACATCACCCCAGGTGAGAACCACTGGTTTAACAGAATAGCTCATTTCATCATCATAACTAAGGAGGTCGCTAGTTCTGTCCCCATCTCACCAGTGAGGAAACTGAGGCTTGGAGCATTGTAACTTATGAATCCAAGCAAGAGCCACACTGTTAGCGAGGATTTGAACTCAGGTCTGTGGGACTGTAGTCCAAGGTCCAGACCCTTAATGACTGTCTGCACTCTTGTTGAGAACCTTCTTGAAATCTTAAGCTTCCAAGCACTGATACTATTCAGGCCCTGTGAGGAAGGGAAGGCCCACGATGAGTTCTCAACACACAGGGAACTTGCCCACACGGACAGCATCAGTGCCTGCCCGGGGCTGGCGCCACGCTCATGACCTCTGTCTCCTCTGTCTGGTCAGTGACTGCAGCCCCTGCTGTCCTGCAGACAGGCAGGATGGGCCGAGACTTCCTTCCACTTACACGCCTCGTGCTTGCCGTAGCCAGAAAGCTCGCACTCCGTCCAGTCGGGCAGCTGCAGGTTGGCTTCCGGGAGACAGACGGTGCGGACAGAGCCAGTCTCCTGGGCGCACTGGGACGAATCCGATTTCAGCTGCAGCAGTGCTGGGAGGGAGAGCGAGGAAGAGAAAACCCTGTGAGCAGAGCTGCTTCTGATTTCAGGGGAGGAAGGTGAAGGAGAGGGCGAGGGTTTGGAAGGAGGGGTGCGAGTGATGTGCGCGCACATGTATGTGTGTGTGTGTGTGTGTGTGTGTGTGTGTGTGTGTGTTGCGGTCTGGAGCTTGAACTGGAGCAGGGATAGTAATGACATCTTACCAATGTCATTGTTGTACGTGTCTTCATCGAATTCCTTATGAAGGATGTATTTTTCGACTTCGAATCTCTGCTCTTCCACTTCAGGTTTCACCCGGTATGTTCTGCCCAGGACCACCTTCAGGTGGTGGGGAGGATACCTGATGGAGAAACAGCCTTAGGACCTTCTTCCTGTCTGAGGCTCCCTCTCAGGGGAGCAGGAGGAGCTGCTGGGCCTGCTGAGTCCCTACCTCTCCAGGAAGCAGTGGGCGGCGGACAGGACCCAGCAGGAGCTGATCAGGATTCCCCCGCAGAAGAACCTCTCTCCTGGCGACCTCTTGTTCTGGACAAAGAGGGCAGCCTGCCACGGGTGGGAGGTGATGTCCGAGTAGAGCCCTCCTTTAATGCGGAATTGAGGCCGATTGTACTGTCTCAGGCCGCAGGTGGCTGGGTGGGAAGAGGCCAGAGAAGGGAGATGAGGTTGGAGGTCCTGAGGCAACGTCCTGAGCACCCATCTTGATTTCTTCTCTCGGGACCCCTGAGTTTCTACTGGCTCTGCAGGTTGGCACAGAGGGGTAAAGTCTCCCTGGTGATAAAAACCCAGCTTTCATTTGCTGAGTACACGGTACATGCCAACACAGTACCTACACCATCTGTGACCCTCACAGCACTGAACTCCAGAGGCTGAAAGATTTTTGCCCAAGGCATCTGGATCAGAACCCGGATCTGTCAAAACCCATAACTGGGGATCTTTCTGCTATGCTTCATTGCCTCTAGTTTTCTTTCTGCAGCCACTCCCTGGTTTAAGAAATAACGAAGCATTGCAACTTCCTCCTGGGGAATGTTTGCCCCATTTCTTTTCCATCTACTCGGCCTTATCCTACTCAGCACAGGTGAAATCCTACATCCTCACGAAGCTGACTTAAGATCCCAAGCCCACAGGGTTCTAAGAAAGCTTACTGACACCACTCACTGGGGCCTCACTCCACACAACCTTGCTTGTGAGTTAACCGATCATTTGTGTCTTGCCTGCCCAGTTAGACTCTATGTTTCTTGAGGAACACTGTAGCTAATTTGTGTTCACAGGAACTGAGTAATAATCATCTATCCTCAGACAATTTCCTGGGCACGGGAAGTGGGTATCTGTTCAAGAGTGCCCCCTGCCCTCCGCCCCCCACATCCTTGCTTTAGTCATGGAAGCTCCCTCCCCAGCAAGGCCTGACCTTCCTGAAAATCTGACAGCCACCCAGTCTGACCCAGACAGCCGCGAAGACGCAGGAAAGGGCATGGCAGAGGAAACGGTCAACAGGGACAGGGCAGCGGGGCTGGGCAAAGGGAGGTGACCCGGGGCCGGCCCTTACAGCACTGGGGGACGTCACAGTACTCCCACGTCAGCTGGCGGCCCTTCAGCACGTGGCACCAAGGCTTGTCATCCCCATCTGGGTTCCTAGATGATAAAGGGAGTTTAAGGTTCTAGATCACATTTTCAATCACATCCAAGCCATGGAAGAGGGGAAGGGGGCTCAGTGAACCGGTGGCAAAACCACTGAGCTGGGAAGGAGGATCCTGAGTTCTGGACGTGGCTCCGTCACAGATCCCCCCAATAAGAAATCAACCTTAACATCAGCAACATGACATGCTCCTCTCCCAGGCTCGTTGGGAGGGACTGGGAGCTGTGCTGTGAGGAAATTCTTTCTATTGGTTGGAATAACAGTGGCAGGTGTGAGGGGACCAGATGAAGACTAAATGGCGATGGGAAAGGATCTTGAACTTGGGATTTGGGGTTGAAAAACGGGTGGACTCTGCTTCTCATAATAATAGGTATTATTCTAGCCAATGAATAGGTTGGACTAGATAATAGCCATGGTTTCTTCCCACTCACTGGGTCTTTCGTATAACGTTAGGCGTCAGCTCTCCTCCCATCCCACAGCCCCAGGCTCGTCCTCGGCACAGACCTGAGCCCCTGGGACCGTGTGCCACATACCGGCAGTAATTGTGTTTGCCCAGGCCCAGCGACAGGGCGTTGGGCTTCCACACGGTGTTGATCTTGCCTCTCAGGAGCATGGAATTCCACGGAAGGCAGGAAGCACCAGACACAGTGAGGCTGCGGGTGCCACGGTATGCGAATCCTTTTCCAAGGTAGCAGCCCCCATTTTTTCCTGAAACAGAGGAAATCTCAAACTGAAACAACACCCACTGACTGCTAAAACCGGCACGTTGGAGTTTGCAACAGGGCCTGCAATGTAGCTGCCGGCCTGGAGAAGCGAAGGCAGCCAGCCTGCGGTGAGGAGGGTGTGATGGCGTCCCTCCTCCCTTTTTCTTTTCCTCTAGCCCTTTTCTTTCATCCTTAACTGAGGATATTCATTGAGAGAGAGGGAGAGAGAGAGGGGAAGAAAGAGAGAGAGAGAGAGAGAGAGAGAGAGAGAGAGAGAGAGAGAGAGAGAGACATCAATCAGTTACTTCCCACCTGTACCCTGACTGGGGATGGGGATCGAACCTACCACCTAGGTATGGGTCCTGACCAGGAATTGAACCCATGACCTTTCAGGACAAGGCTCTACCTACTGAGCCACAGCCACCAGGGCTTCTTCAAGCCCTTTCACACGGAGATGGCAAACATCCATCAACTGGAGATGGCTTCCTAGATTGCTGTGTTGAAAGAGCTTCTGAAGGTATATTTAGGTTCAGCAGGAAGGGAGCTGAGTTTAATTAGTGGAGATTATTTCTGGAGCTGCTTTGAAAGTGATTATAAGTTTCCTTGTTTATATTTGACAGTGAACTAAGGTACTTCAATAGAGGAACATGTCAGCAGGCCCTGATTTCTCAGGTTTTGCCTGCAAGTGCTCTGGAGGATTTGCTGGGCTTGGGAAGGAAAGAGAGTGCGGCCTATTTTCATTTACTCTCCCCCACGTTACTCTCTTTTCTCCCCATTTGAAACTCACAAAACATACTAGGATAATAAATAACTGGAAGGGATCTTTCAGATCACCTAGACCAGGGAGTCCCAGTTTAGACCAGATCCTGGGAGGTGGGGCAGATGCTTTAGCATTACTATAAAGAGTTCAGATTCCCATGTGTGTCAGCATTAGCTGTAGACCGAATGCACATTATTTTGTATCGTATATTTAGAACTTCAAAACGGGTTTTTCATGCTATTGTGATAAGTAACAATTATTTGTGAAAAGCACCGCTGAATTCATATTACCTTTTGTAACTTAGTATTTTTTAAATTTGGGAAATTTTGTAACATTAAAAAAAGTATATCTATCTATCTATCTATAGGTAGATAGATAGATATATTTTTAAAAAATGTGACTATATATATATATATATACTTTTAAAAAATGTGACTATATATATAATATATACTTTCTAAAAATGTGACTATATATATATATATATATATATATATATATATAGAGAGAGAGAGAGAGAGAGAGAGAGATTAAGAAATAGGCCCAGCAATAAAAAAAAATGGAGAATCCCCATTCATTCTCAAAAGAACTGGCAACCACTGATGCAGCTCCACCTTCTCTGTAGATGAGGAAACTGAGGGTCAGAGGTGTTAAGAAATCAGCTCAAGGTCAACAAGAGCTAGGGGCCAAGCCTGGGTGAGGACCTAAGTCTCATGACTGTCTTCCTTCTGCAGCCCCAACTGTGAACTCGCAGCCTGCTCCTTCGTCTCCTGGTTGTAGAAGGACCTTCAACTCTTTTCCCCTGGACCCCCAGGGAAGGTGGGGTGGCTGCACTTACCCTGGGAGCAGACGGGTGTGCTGCAGAACTCAGGCACGTACTTCCCTGCCTTGAAGATATAGCACCAAGGTTTTGAGTCTTTGTCTGGGTTTCTGAAAAATCAGCCAGAGAAAGCCAGAGGGCGTTAAAAGCGGAGCTTCCCTCTCAGGTCCAGGGACTTTGCACCCTCTTCTGGGGAAAGAAGGAGTGGGCGTTTGGTTGTGCAGCAGTGTTTCCCCAACTTCTCTCATGATGAGAATCACCTGGTGGAGTTGTTAAACTACAGATATCTGAATCCCAACTAAGAAGTTCTAAACTAGAATTTTTGGCAACATATAGGTAAAATTGTATACTTAACTAGTGCTTAGAACCTATATGTTGCCAAAAATTCTAGTTTAGAACTTCTTAGTTGGGATTCAGGAATCTGTATTTTACCAACTCCACCAGGTGATTCTCATCATGAGAGAAGTTTGGGAAACACTTTGCACAGGGTAGCTGTATCACGTCAGGTGGGACTATGACTTAGTTATTGTCTCCATCTGGAGATCAAGTGTGATTTAAGGAGATGTGGTTGTGTGCCAAGTTGATAAGGGGTGGACTGTGACGGTTAGTTTTTTGTGTTAATGTGGCTGGTGCTGTTGGGAAGGGATTTTGTAGCTGTGGTAAATATCTATAATCATTTGGCTTTAAGACTATTTTTGATAATGTGGGTGGGCCTCAACTAGCGAGTTGGGGTCTTAAGAGCAAAAGTTAAAATAGAAATTCTGTCTCCAATATATACGCTGAGTGGCGAGATTATTATGATTTCTGAACGCATAATAATCTGGCCACTCAGTGTATATCCTATATAATAAAAGGCTAATATGCACATTGTCCCCTCCACCAGGAGTTTGACCAGCAGGCAGGCCGGCCAACCCCCCATGTCCCCTCCCTCTGGCCAGGCTGGCCAGTCCCCACCCATGCACGAATTCATGCACCGGGCCTCAAATACACACACACACACACACACACACACACACTGAGTGGCCAGATTATTATGCGTTCAGAGATCATAAAAATCTGGCCACTCAGTGTGTGTCCCCAACGGTAGCAGCTTCTCACAAAAAAAAAACACAACAACTCCTCCGTGGGGCAGACAGCCCTCTCACCTGCAGTAATTGTGGTTCCCGAGACCCAGCTTGCTGGCATCTGGCCTCCACATGTTGTAGAGCTTCCGGGCCAGAAGGCTGCTGCCCCAGTTGATACACTCGGCCCCACTTTCCGCTGTGCTCCATGTGCCCCTGTAGGTGACACCTAGGTCCTTGTAGCAGGTGGCACTGGCATCTGATTGAAAGCAGGACACACAACATCGCACATGTGAACTCCCTTTCATTTCGTCTCTCAAAAGGGTCTCACATCTGCTGCTGCCATCACCCCAAACCAATGAGGCAGGCTGGCTGCTGAAGCTACTGGAGCGCAGGAGGGGTGTTGGTGTCCAGGCTCACCCAGCTGACTGGTGGCAGAGCCAGACTCCAAAGTGGGCTCAGCACTTTGGCTTTTCTAACCAACCCTTGGATGATCCTTCCTGTCCCCTCTCCCCTCCTTGCCTCTGTCACCAGGGTAGATTTCCCTTCTGCGTAGATTTGGCAATTGGGATTTCGGTCCCTCTCTCATACCCACTACTCACCTATTTCACAGAGTTTCCCACTAAATCCTTCAGGGCACTGACAGACAAAATCTGAGAAATATAGAGCCTGCCGACATGTCCCCCCATTGAAGCATCGCGGCTCGGTGCAACCTGTCAAGCAGAGACAAGAAACCCATTATTCCTTGCAAAGTAGCTCCAAGAATAATATGAGTTAAAATATTAAGAGTGCTGCCTACATGCCAGGCACTATTCTAAGCAGTTTACGACATTAACTCATTTCATTCTCACGGCAAACCATGAAGTATGTGCTATTGTTCTCCCCATTTTACAGAAAAAGAAACTGAGGCTTGGCAAGTGAAGGTATTTGCCTGAGGTCGCATAGCTTTGCTCCTTTTTTGCTCAACACCTTCACATTTGCCTAAGACAGATCATGCCTAGAATCTCTGTTTAAAGGTTTGAACATGTTGGGAAACAATAAAGACAGGGATTGGGCAATGAGCTTGGATGCTGAAGCTCGAAGCCTGGGCTTGAAGTCCATACTTAGTTTGAAAAAAATATATATTTTATTGATTTTTACAGGGAGGAAGGGAGGGGGATAGAGAGTTAGAAACATCGATGAGAGAGAGAAACATCGATCAGCTGCCTCCTGCACATCCCCTATTGAGGATGTGCCTGCTACCAAGGTGCATGCCCTTGACCGGAATTGAACCTGGGACCCTTCAGTCCATAGGCCAACGCTCCATCCACTGAGCCAAACCAGTTAGGGCCATACCAGTTAGGGCCATACGTACTTTTGATGGGCACAGAGTGGCACTTTGACTGGCCGCTGTTGCACCAACAGTATTCTACACGGTTGCTTCTGACCATGGGACGCAGCCAGGATTCATGCTGCCGATATATCATCTGGGTTTTTTCATCTCTGCAGGTCACTGTAACAAAAGACAGGCTGGCCTCTTAGAGCACAACTCACCAAAACTGATGGTCCACCTCCAGTCTTACTGAGAACATTCCTACCTTACTCTCTAGATAATCCATCCTTTATTCCTTTCTTGCTCTCCACTGGAAGACAACCAGTACCTAACATTTTTTTTTCTCCAAAGACTCCTTTTATTGTTTTTGTTTTTTCTCTGATGGACCCTCATTTTGAAGGAATTTATCTACTAAAATGCACATGTTAGAAAATACTCTATGCCGAAGCCGGTTTGGCTCAGTGGTAGAGCGTCGGTCTGCGGACTGAAAGGTCCCAGGTTCGATTCCGGTCAAGGGCATGTACATTGGTTGCGAGCACATCCCCGGTGGGGGATGTGCAGGAGGCAGCTGGTCGATGTTCTTCTCTCATCGACGTTTCTAGTTCTCTATCTCTCTCCCTTCCTCTCTATATAAAAAAAAATTAATAAAATATATTAAAAAATACTCTATTTTTTTTTCATTTTAATTTCATTTTAAAACTGTACACATGTATATAACTGCCTGCAGAGTTTTGGGTCCACGGGAGTATTACCACACTGAAATGATGCATTTCTGGCCCCAAACAAAGAAAATTGGCATTTTGATCTGTGTAGAAAACGTGCTATTCCATTAGAATTTTTGAAGGACTTAGGGCCAATGAGTTACAGGCTCCCCCAGCTTTGTGAATCCCTGACTGAAAGCTGGCTCCTTGAGGACACACCTTTCCCTGACTTCTCTGATCCTGCTCACTCCCTTCAGCTACCTGGGTGCATGTGAGTGAGTGATGGGGGGACCACACAGGCATCTTTGCAGAATTGCCCTGTACAATTTCACTTTCACCCACAGTTTAAGTTATCAGGTGGGAGATAGAAGATAGATCCCCTGACAGAGCCTGAATCACCCTGAGCCCTAACCCTGCCTCCTACCTTCATCAACCCCTTTCCAGCTCAGCTTCATCTTACCTCTGTATGATCTGGCTCCTCTTCTGAATCGCCTGTGGATTTCCTACAGAGAAACCAAGGGTGGAGAAAGGATCAGTGCATGCTGGTATCTTAAGAATAAAGGTAGCCAATCCAAAAGACCACCCATCAACCTGCCAATCAGATGCCACCTGCCCAGAGAGTCCCCCTCAGGGTAACTGGCCCCAGGGAGAAAGTCCATTTCCTGTCTTTTTGCCCAATTCTTCCTCCCCTTCTAGACTCGCGCCGTCCAAAAGAACTTTCTGAATGATGGCAATGTTTAATACCTGTGCTGTCCAATATATAGCCACTAATCCATGTGACAACTGAGTGCTTGAAATAGGGCTAGTGTGAACCCTACATTTTATTTAATTTTAAGTTTAAATTTGAAGTAATCACAAGAAGTTAGTGGCCACCATATTGAACAGTGGAGCTGTATTCCCCATCTCTTTATGAAGTCATCTCTGACTCTCTTGGAAAGGCTGCTGCTCAGGTATTGCTCAGTTGGCCTTCTATGATGTCCTTTGCTGCTGGACATTTTCAGAGAGCATGTGTATTGTACAGTTTCCATCCCAATGAGATAGTAAGCAGCAGGAGGGCAGCCTGCCTGCTTCTATGGCTTGCAGCACTTGCATTCTTTTGTAATATTTTATGGATTAATTAAAAAAAAAATAGCTCCAAAGAAGGTGTTCAGAGGCAGTGGAGTAGAATTAAAAACTGTTCCCTCAAGTTACAATAAGTGCCTAGGGTCTGCTGCTGTAATCCTGAATCCCAAGCATCCTATACAGAGGGGATTATGTACATGTGTGTTCAGCAGCTCCGTTGGCCCTCTCCACTGAGGAGCCCCTGGAGGGACCACAGCCCTCAGGGACCTGAACTGCACACCCACCTGCCCGGGCAGAGTGAAGACTGCTCCACAAAGCAGCAGTACACACAGCAGCTCTCTCTTCATTGCAGTCATCATTTCTTCAGTGTCCCTCAGATTCTGGAAAATGGGAGTAAAGCTTAATCGTGTGATTGAGAGGTCAAGGAGTACAACCAAGGTCAAGAACCTGCAACTTTATCATGGCCGGGTGCCCAGAATCAGTTTCCTTCACAGGAAATGCCCTGACAAGTGTCTGGAAGATGTGTGTGTGTGTGTGTGTGTGTGTATGTGTGTGTGTGTTTTAAATATAGTGGTAAAATACATAAGAAACCAAGCCTACCGTCTTAACCATTTTTTAGTGCAGTTTGGTGGCATTAAGCACATTCACATTGTTGTGCAGTCATTACAGCTGTCTGTTTCCAAACCTTCATCTTTCCAACCAAACTCTGTACCCACTTGAACAATAACTCTCCACCCCCCCTAGCAACCACCATTCCATGACTTTGACTGCACTGGGTATCTATATAATTAGAATCATACAATATTTGTTCTCTTGTGTTCGGCTTATTTCACTTAGCATAATGTTCTCAAGGTTCATCCATGTCAAAGCGTGTGTCAGAAATTCCTTCCTTTTTAAGCAGAATGATATTTGTCCACATAGATCGCAGTTTGCTTATCCATTCATCCATGGATGGACACGGATTGCTGGAAGATGATTTTGTCCAGAGATTTCTGTGGGCTGCAGGGTGAGACCATCTCTGGCACTTCTTGGCAGCCCAGGGACTGTGGTGAGCTGGCGTGGTTTCCCTTGAAGTGAGTTCCTGTCCTGAGGTTGACTAGACAGTGATGCCCTCTCCCTGACTCTTTAGAGGAAACCATAGGGGTTTTTTGCTGGGCACATCACAGAGCCAGCCTACCTCAGATTGTCTCAGCTTTTCCACTCATGGCTTCCAGGGCTCTTTGTCCAACAAAGACCAGCCTCCCCTCCACCCCCGCTCCATGGGAATGCTGGTCTCCTTCTTTACAGACAGGCCTGACAAAGTGCAGATGTGTAGAAAAGAGCAGAGGCGTCTGGTTTTAGTCAAGAAGCTCAGATCTTCCTGGACCCTCAGTTCCCGGCTTTTGTGTGCCTGTGCCTCTCCATGCTCTTGCTCTCAGCAGCTTGAAGTAGGTTAGTTGGCCGGGATCTTATTTTGTGGTCTGGCAGGCCCACTCGCTCCTTCATCCTTAAGGATTAATTTAGGGAATTTCTCCCCTTGACTCACTTCCCTCCAGTCACAACAACTTTTGGTCCCACCTCTCCCCCCTATCCCAAGGATCTTCAGTGTTCTGTCCCTGAGAGGCTCTCAGGACTTTCATCCTGGCCTGGCCTGGCTCTGGCTCTGGTTCCTTCTTTGTTTATTTGCACAGAATTCCCCCTGTTGGAAGTGTCATTCCCTTCACATGGCCCCAGGCTCCCTTCACAAAATAAAGGTTGAGAGGGGTGGTGGGAGACTCTTTATGATTCTTCTTAGGATGCTGGTGACAGGCAGGGCAGGGAAACCAGAGTGGGGGCATTGGGGAAGAGGGCAGGAAGGCCTGGTCAACAATGAACGCAGCAGGAAACCCAGGCCATGGGCTCAGAGGGAATCTTGCCAACCAGCACACCCCCTCCCCTCACCTCCCCTTGCCCATTGTGAAAGAAACAGAAAGAGCTCAGGATCTGGGCCTTTGTTCGGATCTGGCATGCCCAAGGCCCCCCTCTCAGGCGGGGAAGGGGGAGTGGTGGTGGTGGTGGTGGTAGTGGGGCGGGAGAGTGTGCGTGTGGGGGGCAGTGCCCTTTGGGGGTCCCTTTCTTAGAGGAGGAAAGCTCACTGCTATTCACTGGTTCCAGGCAGTTTCAGGAGAAAGAAGTAGGCCATCGCACACAGAAAGCTTTCTGAACACGGGGAACTGCCTCGAACTTTCCTTCTCAGCCGTCCTTAATTTTCCCCTTTCTTACCATTTCCCCAAATCCCTCTTAAATTTCCCTTCTTAATTTTATCTCATTACTTATGACCTTGAAAAAAAAACAGATCTTAAGTGTATTTCCCCCTTTCTTCCTGACCTTAATTATTTTCACATATTTGTAGATGGTCCCATCCTTTATTGTCTTAGCCAAGCCTTGAGACCTCTAAACTCTCAGGACATGAAGAAATTCTGAATGAAATAATAACTGAAGGAATAAATGAGCCACCAGCTGAACAAGGAACTTAACTTGCACGCCAAGCCAACCAGTCTTTTCAATATTCTCATTCACCCAAATCCAGGGGATTGGTATAGTCTTTCCTCTGGATGCTTGCCTAGTTACTGTTTTATTTCAAGAACTCACCATCCTCCCAAGTGGAACACGATTCTAGAGGTTGGAAATGGCCAAGTGGCAAGTTAAGTATCAACATATTTACATTCCCTGGACAAATATGGGGAGGGAGACCAACTGGGGAAGGAGGAGCCTGGCTTAGGGCTGGGTGCAAAGACTCCGACAGCTGCACCATGTCAAACCCTTTTGTAACTGAAGAATTAGCATAAGGGGGAGAGGAACATATTTTGTCTTCTGCTTCTGGGAGAGTTAGAGACTGTCTGTCTTCTATCAGTCCTTGTCTTCCTCTGACTCTTTTGGCCTTGCTGAGCCTTGAGATGATCCAGTGCAAATGAGCTTCTCTCTCTCTCTCTCTCTCTCTCTTTCTCTCTCTCTCTCTCTCTCTCACACACACACACACACACACACACACACACACACACACACACGGGATTGCTCCATCCTTACTATCAGAGGCAATGAGAGCAGCTGGGCAGGCTGAAGGGGTAAAAGAGTGACAAAGAAATTAGTCACCGAATGCATTCTAAAGACAAAGGAGAATGAGAAAAGGGAGTGAACCGTGTCCTCGTTTTGCCGTGGTAAAGGGGGGGGGGAGTGTAGAGGTCTGGGCATGCCTGAACAAAGAAGAAAGTGAATACCAGAGACGTGGACTGAGGCTCAGGACCCCTGGAACCCATGCCAGCACACCTCAGTGGACCACAAGTTCCCACCAAAGGGGTCAGTACCAGATGCTCATGGCGAGGCCAGGATGGGAGGTGAGATTTGAGGAGTAAGTGTAAGAAGTCCTTCTGAGGCTCACTTTATTACTGAAAAGAGATTTTTTTAAAAATGTGTTCTCTCCCTTTTCCTATATTTGATGGTTTCCCAGAATCAAAGAACTAAAAAGTCAAGGAAGCAAGGGGAAGAAAGAAAGGGGGGGAAGGAAAGAAAGAAGGCAGGCAGAAAGGGAGGGAGGCAGGGAGGGAAGGAGGAGGAAGAAATATGGGAGGGAGGGAGAATGGAAGAAAGGGAAAGAAAGAAAAGACAAAGAAAACCCATGAGGGTTCTCACTTTTGTTGGACTGTACTCTCTGAATCACACTGAAAGAATCATTGTATGAGCCCAGCAGGCGTGGCTCAGTGGTTGAGTGTTGACCTGTGAACCAAGAAGTCATGATTCATTCCTGGTTAGAGCATATGCCTGGGCTGTGGGCTCGATCCCCAGTGTGGGGCATGCAGGAGGCAGCTAATCAATGATTTTCTCTCATCATTGATGTTTCTATCTCTCTTTCCCTCTCCCTCTCTAAACTCAATAAAAATCTATTTAAAAAAAGAAAAGCATCACTGTATGAGAGGAGTGATGGGATGGCCATAAAGCCTGCCATGCTCAAGGCCCCAAGGCTCCCGCTCTGGCAGGCTCCAGCTGGCACACAAAGTTGACTTCTGCCGATTTGTAAAAGGCACCCTCTCTGGTGGCTGAAGCTCAGCAGAATCGGGCTTGGCAAGTCGACAAGGTCTCCGTAGCAAGAACAGGGCGCATGACTCAGCAAGTAAAGCATGGCCTGGATTTCAAAGATGTGCAAGGGCAGGCACCCCTGGGCAGGACACCACCTCTGACCTTCTCACCCAAGGGCCCTATTGAGCCCTGCTGGCTGCAGTGACAGAGTGGCGCCGGCCACTGGTCCCTCTGAACAAGTGTGAATGATGCCTGCTCTGGGGAACAGTGGTCTGGTTACTGTCCTCTAGCACAGGATGTGTGCCATTCTGCCTGAGAAGTCAATGATCACACCAACCAGACACTCTGTGTTCATTTCCGCAGGGGAAGCATGGGGGCACGCTGATGGATGGGTGGTGCTCATCCATCAGCATTCCCCCATGTCACTACCCCTGCGGAAATGGACACTGAGCTCATAATTGTCTGGGTCTGGACTGGGTGAAGTCACTGTAGTGGCAGCAGGACAGCTAAAGGAAGGACCTGGGGGACAGCAGAGGAAGTATTGTCCTTCGTGCCTTTATACCCTCTTTGCTTTACCCTTTCCCTCCATTGTCCTCCTACCTTCTTCACCTTCCTCAGAGAAATCTGCTCTCCATAAAAGAGCTGACACGCTCATTCACATAAAGTTAAAATGACCAAGTAAACATCAGCATGCTGTTCTTCCAAAGCATCTACATTTTGGAACATAGAATCTATTCCCAGGGCTGCAAAACACAGTGGGCTGGATTCTCAAGGTTTCCTCCATAACACTGCTTGGTTTCTGTTGTGAGAACAAGTGATAGAAGGAGTGTACACATGCTGTGTAAACTGTAAAACACTTACAGATGGGTGTAAGTACTTCTACTTAAACACTCAGTCACGTGCTATAGAGTGATTTGCAATCAAGGAACTGTACAAACTCAGTCACTCATGCAGTCAAGTTCTCTAATCCTAGGTACAAACCATGCCATTGTCCCAGTGATTATAGAACGGAAGGATTTCGTTCCCATTTTTGCCCACAAGAAAAAGGCAGGCACGCAAGCTAGGAAGAGGAAGGTGGGAATTGCAAGGGAAAGATAACAGTAAATTGATACTCTGATCGAATTTAATGCCATGTGCAAGGTTTGCAATCTGAATCTTCGGCAAAGAGAATTTTGGAGTTATTATTGTGTTTTCTCTCTGGGAGTCTGCGTAAGAGAAAGTCGGCCTGTGAGAGTACCAAATACCCTATAATGACTCATGGCTATAAAACCAAAAACACCCTCCTCCACCCCCTTCTCCCTCTAACCATCATGACCCAGAATGGATG